GAATAGTAACATGAGTATGGTAGTTATAATGGCTATGATAGGCTACAGATAAAGGTAAAGGTATAGATTGCTTCTACTGTACTAAGATGCTCAGCAAAGAAAAGCATATAAGGCATTCGTAATCTAAACTAAGGGTCTCCAGGCCTGCCTGCAGCTGGAGCTGACAGCTATAGGCACAGGCTCTGTAGCCCACAACCCTGGACTGCTGTAATGTCTTGCATGTAATAAACTGCATTTTGCAGAGCTGCCTGGAGTCCTGCATCTCTCATTATGGCTCTTACAACTCTGTGTAGATGTTAAAAGTTTGCAGAATCTATTTCTGGGTTTTTCTGCAATAAAGCCTGAGACTTTTATGTCTTCCTGATTCTAAAATAAAGGGAAGAATTATTTCAAAGGGCATATTAAAAGAGAAAAAAAAGATGTTGTACCAGCTTGAAGAAGATTGTGGCTTTGGAATATGAATCAGTTTTCTGGATTTCATTTTCTACTCACACCCTGGAGCTGCCTTTTCCCACCTCCACTCAAGAGAACAACTAGGGACATAACTTCTACTTTGTTTTGGTTTTTTTAATTATTGAAAAAACTTTTGGTATAGCAGATGACATAAAATGTGTTAGCTGCCCACTTCTGCAGAACTGCACAGTGAACTTCAGTAACACACTATGAGCTGAATTAAATTGTCTGCCAAAAGCAAGCAAACTTTTCTAGACAATCTGTTATTTGACACACTCTAACCAGTAAAGCCTGTTGGACCATCTGCTCTGTATAAAGTCCAGGGTACATGTTGTAAACTTAGCAGCGAGCCAGAGTCAACATTTCCACAGTGGGAATCCCCTACAAGAAATTCTATCAACAGCTCTTGCCCTCTTGGCTTGGTGTCCGAGATCCAGGAAAATCCCTTCCTCCAGTCTATTTCCCCTGCTCACTGCCAACCTCACACACTCAGGAGAAGTGTGTGCTGCACACACAATTGTGTGTGCTGCACACACAATTCCTGCACATGGGCATCCAGAAATCCCCTATAAAAAAACCACAAAAAACCCCAGGATACAACAACTGTACCAGAGGAGGCTGACCTGTTGGAGTTCTCAAACACTCCAAAAATTTCAAACCCTCCCTATTCAACATTTTCCTGCCAAAAAAGGAAACACAACCAGGAAAACTACACACAGAGACATCGCTCAGCTGCCTTGCATCAAAAGGTAAAAGGGGGAAGGAAAATTAGCTCATTACTGGATCTGGCTGTACTTCTGGATCCCTAACACGCTGGCTCAGTCAAAATGTTATCTGCTATCTTTGATATCATTTTAATGTTCAAGGAAGGATAAAGAAATTCTTCTTGAACCACTGAGAAACATTTTAAATTCTTATACACAGAAGGCAGCTGCTGTTTCCAGAGTTTTTATACAGCTTTTTTGCATTTCAAATACAGCTTCTCTACCAGATACCTTCCCACTGACATCCTGGCAGCTCAGAGTAGGAATAGAAGGAGTTGTTGGACCACTTATATCAGCACCACAAGGGGGGCACAAAAGGGAGGAAAATTGGGGTGGACAAGGAGTTAGAATGCCAAAATACTGAAATATGTAGGGGGAAGCACACATAGAAAAATTGGATGCTAGAATGAGTGTCACAGTGTGTTAAGTCCTGCCTAGGTGACAACAGGGGTGCGACAGCTCCCCCCTTTAAGCTGTGCAAGATTCCAGCTGCCAAGGAGGTTCAGCGCAGGGACAAAAAGCAGCAGCACAGGTCCTGGAGTGGAACTGGGGTAACTTTATTAGATGGCAAACTCCCTGGGACAAAGGTCCCAAGAGCCTGAACCAAGTGCAGGCAGTAAATAAACAGGTGAGGTCTCAGGGGAGAATACCATTTTTAACCAACCAGTAGAACTGGGGGTGGAACACAGGGCGGGGAAACACAATCTGTAACCCAATGGAGGATCTTAAGTAAACCAGTGGGTTTGGTTTTTTTTACTGACAGGGAAGTTTCTAGAAGAAGAGGCATGTTGGGGGAAGGACTGACATCTGAGGAGGGGAGGAGCAGGGAAGGTTTTTGGGGAAGAGGGTAGGGACAGGAGGGATTGACAACTTGGCAGGGAATGGCCAGGCAACAAACAGAAGGACTGACAGTTAACCAAACTGAATAACAATGAGGGAGCGAGTCTAAATTTAGAAACCTAAGATACAAAATGGGGAACACATGCCACTCCAGAAGCAGGGGGAGGAAAATATAGAAGGATTTCCAAACCACAAATTAAACAATAAAACATGCCAAATAAAGAAAACACACTACAACAAATGAGGCTGTAAATTGAGGTTTATTCATTTCTTCCATAATTTTAGTTGGTGTGTCTGCAGAATAGCTGTCAAAATACAAATATCCGACTCCACTAGGAGTCTTTATCTTGCTATGACACTAGTATAATTTAACATGGCCCAAACTATCCAGACTTTTTCCTATTTTATAACAGAATTGTGTTTTTCAGTTGTGCTTAGGGTCAGATCATGTTTTCATTACACCACTACCATTTCAGATCATATATTTCAACTTCCCATTTACCAGCAGGGGCACAACCCTGTAGCCGGGCTCTATTCTCCAAAGAAAGCTGAAGCACCCTACTGCCACAGGGTGTGTGCTCCCTGCAGCCCTAGGATAAGCTCGGTGCAGGCTGCAGCTCTCTGGAGCAGGTAAATCCCAATGGCACCTACAGTAGAGTGCAGGGAACAGCATGAAGCACCCCAACTGCAATTCCCCAGCATTTCATGAGAGTACATGTGGGGAGCTCCCATGTCATCATCATATTGAAAAAGTTCCATACTGTTGTCACATTATCACAAAAGCTTCATACCACCTTGGTGTTTTCTCATGGGCAGCTCTTCAGAGCACTGATTCTTTCTTCCTCACAAAATCGTCAACTGACTTCAGCTCTCTTCTCAACCAACCAACCCAGTCTTTTATAGCACTCTTCTTCTCATTGCTTACAGCTGTGGCCTGTTAAAGTCAGACCTGTTCCTAATCTTTGGTAATTGGCCCAGCTGCAACTCCTTAGGGGTGAGATTACTTTCTGCACTGTCTTTATTTGCTTATATTCTATCCCCCCACACTCCCATCTAAGCATCCAGTTACAGTTCTAAAGATAAAACTAATCAGTTTATGACTAAGCTACTCCATTCTCCTCTAATATTTAGCTGCTATTCTGTATTATTTTATTGGCTCCTTGCTGAGGGGTGCAAAATTATGTGCAGGCTGAGGGAGGGCGCCAATGGAAAAATCCTTAGTAACCTTAATTTTAGCCAGTGGCTAGAGCAGAATGACTTGGAGGACTTGGGGAACTCTGGTAATAAAGGAATGACATGGGGGAAAAGGCTTAGAAAACTAAAGGGGGAAGTGAATGGCAAAGGTACCCTGATGCACTTTGTTGAAAACAAGATGCAAAAAACCCCAGAGGTGGTTCATTGTGTTTAGGGTGTTTTTTTCATAATTTTTAAGCTCTAGAAAGTACAGTTGGTTGATGGAGAAGATAGGACAGCAGAGATGTGCCAGTCAACAGCACTGCTGTCCTGATTTCATTATCACTTGTCTCAAAACTTGTCTCTCCATACCTCAGTCTTTACATCCTGTTCACAGTCTCACTATCCTAGAAAATGTTGAATGGCAGAGAAAACACATCCATCTCCACAGTGAGCAGAAAGGTTCATATACACTCATTTGTTTCCTCCAAAGTAACACTTTCATCTAGTCTTTATTAAAATATCAATTGACTAGAAAAAAATCACTTGTGAAATGCTGACAATGGCTTTTACTCTTTGGGGAAATTTTAGCAGCCTGTAAGAGAAATAACAGTAAGATCCCTTCATATAGACACAAACACAGGTCATGGAGAGCTCATGGAGAAGAAGAATTTGAATGAGTTACTTTCACAGTTTGAAAACCTAATTGCCAAAGAGACTTACAGCAGCCACTGTGAGGATGGCTCCGTGCAAGAAACAACACAAGAGAAACCATTGGAAAAGAATAAAGGAAGGAGGAAAATGAGAAGGAAGGAAAGGACAAACACTAAGAATTGGCACTCCCACCATCAAGCAGGTAAAGGCTGCCAGAATTTTCCATCTGGAGTTCCTCTGCCCCATTGCAAGGCAGCAAGGGCCTGGCTCCAGAGCTGTAGCCAAATGATGGGGGTGACAAAAATGTCAGTGTGATCCTGACAGGACCAGTTCCCAAGGAGGAGAAGGAAGTTTGACAGCAGGGACAGCTCTCCAATTCCCTGTCTCAGGCTTTACAGGCAATCTCAGTCAGTAGCTTGGTCCTGTTAATGAAAACTTCTGTGCATCTGCATTCCCTTAAAGTCACCCTGGTAACTCTGCACCTTCTACCTGCAGTTCTCTCCACACAGCCTTGCCATTCCACCTCCAGAAATATGTATTTTATGGATGAGTCTGGGTATTTTGGAAAGAATGGATGATGGAAAGATGACAGCAAGCAGGAGTTGGGAACCCTTCAGATCTGTCCCACTTCCCAGCTACTGCTGTGACCCCAAGTCATCACACCACTGGCCCATGGGACATGGAAAGCAATAGAAGCTCCTGTAGGGCTTTGGAAAGGACCTTAAAGATTGTCCAGTTCCCACACTCCTTCTCTGGGCAGGGGCACCTTCCACTAAAACAGGTGTTGGCATATTCTTTTTGGCTCTGTCCCCTAATTATTAAAACGGCGCCAAGGCTGTGGCTACATCTCAAGCGTAAATAGTGCACTTGTATACTACACCAATTTATGGAGTGGGTGTCTGTATGATGGATTAGTAAAATTCCACAGCATGTTTTAGGAATCAAACACAGAGCCTTTATCAAAGACATCAGACACATGAAATGTATTATATATTTGCTCTCAGCATAAAAAGCAGATTAAAACATTAATTTTTGGTCTCAGCATGTTTTTGATTCAAGTACATTAACCATCTTTTCTCCTCTGTATGTTTTCAAAAGAATGACTTGTTTATAACAGGTGTAGCCAAGCTGGTGTTGGAAACGGAATATGACCCTTTCTTTTATTAAATATCAAGATCTAGACTTCCCCTGTTGGAAGTACAAGCACTGGATTTATTTATGTCAGAGGAGTGGAACACAAAACTCAGAGCACAATGATTAAAATCCAGCAGTTTCCTTGAGCAGTAATAGCCATCTAACCAGAGCAGCACTAGCTAATCCTCCTAGCACTGGTGGCTTTTTCCTAACCCAGGTCATATGCCTGGAGTCACACACTGGAACTGAATTCTGATCACTAGCACAGGGCAAGACGTTCAGGACAGCTTCCCAGGAGGAAAAGGCTACACTGCTACCAAATCACTGCCCAGGCCCTCCTGCCCCCTCACCCGTGCTTTCCACAAGCCACATCCTGGGTTTATCTGCTCAACAGCAATTCATTCTACAATAAATGCATATTCTATGTGCAGTGCTACAAAATTTTGCAAAGGAAGAATGAACTTCTCAGGTCTCCCACTTGATTCTTGGAAGCCCATTAAGGAATCAAGCAAGATGCCTATGGGGACTTGGAAATGAAAGAACCAAGTATTCTTTACTTAAGTTGTCCAGATCAGCACACACAACTAATATTTGCTGGAGAATCAAGTGATCTTGGTAGCTCATTGGCACCAAAGATTGTATTTTTCTCTGTAAAAATGTCACAAGCTAATTCTTGGTGCAGAAGGGATTGGTCTGAGGGCAGTTTGCACAGCTCTGTCCCCCAGCAGCTGTGCAGTGTTACCATTTTCAAAACTTACCAGCATTGCTATTTAAGGATCTTCCCTGGGCTGCATGATGCAAATGTAGATACAACAAATTCTCCTCTGTAAATGTCAACACACCCAGCAAGCTCTGGTTTCCCATTAACACACAGATGGAGGTTCAGACCAGAGACCAAACATCAGAGTTACCCATGGCAGGAAATTTATTCAGTTTAGATGGAAGCGAAAAAAAATACTGATGCTTTTTTTTTCCTAATTGTATCTCTAGTTTTATGCAACATGATATAAATTTAAGGTCAAGAGAGTAGATGGAGGTTTTGAAAGGAGTTCTGATTTAAATCTCCCAGGAAAGACCGAGGGTGATCATTAATAAATCGTGGCTACCTTGATGTACCCAGAGGAAACTGCTGGGAGGCTGGGGATGGAGGCTGGACAAATTCACCTAGGAGTGCCTGAGGAGTTTGAGATGACTCAGCTGTCAGAGGTGCTGGGAAGCTGAATTCACTGCTCCCACCCGTAGTGGCCTCTAGCTCCACCAGCTGCAGAGCCAGCATCTGCCCACCTCTTACTGCAGACAAAGTGCAGATGTGTGACTCCCTCTCACAACATGCAGGACAAGGATTGGCATCCCTGCTAGCCAGAGTTGGTGTCAGGGCTTCAACTGGATCTGGACATGGTTTGGCACTGGCTTAGCAAGGAAATAGGGGCATCCTTCTAAAGCTGTGCAGGAGAACCCCCTGTTCCTGCCCAGTCTCACACCAGCATATTGTGCTGAGTGCCTTTTCCATTTTCAAGCAAATGAGCACTTTTATAGAACACTTGGTAAGTTCACAAGTTTATAGAACACTTGGTAAGTTCATATTTCATTTTTGCTACCTATTAATTTGTCATCCAGTTCATTCCTCTTGTCTGACAGCACTGGCCACCTCCCTAAAGCAGGTTTTGAACTTCAGGTGTGTCTCAGCCCTCCCACTCTGGTGGGTCTTTCTCCTCTCTAATTCTCCAAATGACTTCCAGAAGCAGGAAAATGGAGAGGATGCAACAACTTTCAAAGTCACCTTCAGGAGCAAAGAATACAGGGCCCAGAATAAACACACATTTAATTTCTTTGCAGCATTGGTGGAGTTCAGAGAATACAGAAGGCAGGATCTGGAAGAAGAGCTACAGCCCCAGAATTTCATCGGCTGTGGACACACATTTACACTTGCTCAGGCTGTGTATGTGAAACCTTGCATGAACAATATATTTGCTATACAGTGTTAACACAGCAAGTGTCAAATGCCAGTGCATGCCCAGAAGCAGCGGCAAACAGAGCTGGGAATCCAAAAACCACACCATGGTAGCTCATGCTCTTGGCCTTGTTCTTCATGCTTCTTTGGTTCTGTATTTGGAATACAAGCAATACAGAACTCGCATTATAGCCTTCGTATCTCCGTTCACAATATCTGTGGATACACAAACCAGAAACAACAAAACCAGATGGGAAGTATTAGCAATCCCTGGAACAGGATGAGACTGCACATGCCAAAGAGAGTCTCCCACATTTCCCCAGTTATAATGTGAACTTGGACAATTGAATTGCAACAGGAAGCAAAATAGGAACTACAGAGGTAGAAACTAATAATTTATTAAATTAACATGAAGAAAAGGGACTTCTGCTGCAGGAAGACAAATAAGGGCAAATAATGCAGAGTAACAAATTCACTAGCAAAGTGCAGAGTAGATAATTTAATAGGGCTTTATATCTTGAGGTTTTTATGATTATTCTGTGTCAGGAATCATAATTTTTTTTGTTGTACACTTTTTTGTTGACACCTTATTTTTTTTGTTGTAATATTTCCATCATGTTTTGCTGCCATTTGATGCATTGTCTTTTATTGGATTTTTGGTTTTGTTTTGTTTCTGTTGTTTGGGTTTTTTTTTTTTCATTTAGTTTTCCGCTTTTTTCTTCTTTGCTATATAAACTGCTGTTTTATTTAAAAATTGCAGTGGAAAAGAGTAATGGATTCAGAGGGGTTTCTGTTCTTCTTATGATACTGTAAATCACTGGGAGAAAGACTAAAAAAAAAACACTAGTAAAAGTAGATCGTTGAAGAGTCTATATAGCATAGCTCTAGCAATGACTCCTAAATAATATTAAATTCACTCACTAGCTGAGGATTTCCCCAGTGAAAGTAAAGGACTTAAGGATGATAGCACCAGTATTTCTTATACTGATCAGCTCTTTGTTTGAGACTGTGCAGAACAGCCAGAGGGGAGGAGGAAAAGCACAGATTTATTTCTTTTTACACAAAAGGTGGATCTCAGCATGGAGACCTGAGACCACACCCATTACTCTGTTAATGTTAACATCAAAAAAGGTCTTTAGCTTTCCAGGTTCCTAGCTCTGTGCAGCACATCAAAAAGCCCACAGTTAGTGAATGCCCAGCATGCAAACTGCTGACATCACCAAAGCAGTAGTGGGAAGAGAGAACAAAAGGAAAAACAAAGGAAGCCCTAAATCCTCTCTTTCCCTCTCCATGTTACCACGTGTTATGTACCCAACACATGTACCCAACCCACTCATAAATAAGTAACAGGGAGCTAGAACTGGAATAATACTTTTTATTTTTAATAAAGATTTTACTTCCTTTTTCAGCAACAAGCTTGTAGAGGAATGCAGGGATTATGTGCCCTGCAAGAGGTCAAACTTTGCAACCACAGTACCACCCATTAATTAACCACATCCCTCCTCCCATCAAGAGCTGTCACCAAATTTTTCTGTGAAGTTTTTTAACTGGAAAACTGGACTCATCCAAATGGAGCTTGTTTGTTTGCTTTTGTGGTGGAGAAAGAAAGAGGAGCATGCATGTACATTGATTCAGTGATGGAAGCATTCCCTTGAATGAAGGAGATCAAGATTCAGCTCCCAAGTCTGAACCAAGCATAACAGCCACTAAAAATATTTCATATTTTTATATGAAAAATATAAACTTTAATATTCAGGAGACTGGCCCACCACTCTTCTGAGTTTGAATAGAGTGATCAGTGTTTCTGATTTTCCAGAGAAATTCTTCAAGGTATCTTCCCACAGAAACAAGCTTGCTTTTAATGCACTGAAAGCTTTTATGAGACAGGAAAATAGCTTTGCCTCCAGCTCAGCTGCTGTAATTTCCCTAGGAGCTGTCACTGGTTTAAATTTTAATAAATACTGAATTACTAAACAGTTTAAATTTAGTGTAAAGTTACTAAACTTATAGCAATTCAACTTTTTTAGTATAGAAGTAATGATTTTTCAAAAAAAAAGGTCTTATATCTCAACAGTTCATTCTGCATGAGAAGATGTAGAGCAGCCATATAATGAAATGTGTCAGTGTCATTTCCAGAACCTGCTTCTTGCAATTACCCAAACTTTTGCTAAGCTGGGAAGTTAGCAATTCTATTCCAGGTAAATGTGCGTGTTATGACTCACCTTCAGAATTCACAGGAAAATTCAGAAGGCCTCCCTCTGCTAGCAGCTCCAGTGCCAGGTTAACATTGTGCAGCTGTTGGAGAGAGACAGATATTAATATAGCTGAAAATATTTTCTAATCAACAGAAGATTTTAAAAAGTATTTCTCTAGTAGCTGAGGATACTGATTCATAAATATGTATTCATATTCCTCTCCTTGGTTTTGATGAAGTGGTCTTCAGAATTTTTACCAATTATCATATAAAATTAGATATAAAATCCATCTCCAGCGAAACATATCCCATGAGGTGGGCAGAAGAATCCCTTTATTTAAAAATAGACCTTGCATGTGAAAGACTTGTGTTAATGAGAAAAACAGGCTAGATTCCTAACTGGATCTAATGGATGCATGGAGTCTATTTCTGGGTATTTTTAAACAATGCCCATATGCTTACCACACTTGGAATAAATGAAAATGGAAAAGTTCTCTATATTTCCTTCAGAATTGCAAAGACTAGGTATAATTGTTAGCTAAAAGTTTTTGCTGTACTTCTAAAGTGTTTATTTACCTTAATAGTAGTGATGATATCCTTAATAACACTCATGAGAAATGAAGCCCACATCTATGAATGAAGACACAGGTTTTTTTCTCATTTTTCCTCACTGCTTTTTCTCTCCCTTTCCCACATAAAAGCAGCATCACAAACATAAGCAGTAGCTGTAATTGATTTTTGAAAGTAATATTCCCTTCTAACAGCTTAAGGGTAGTTGTTTACTTGGCTGGTAATTAGCAAATTCCCTTCCTCTGAATGAACTGACCTGAATGAACTTCAGATTTTTCTCTTCCTGCCTTCCCTGAGCTACTGGGCAATTTATCCTTTGGGAGGCTGCTGTTCCTTGTTATGTTTTGACAATAAGCACAGGAGTCCTCCCTGCATAAGCCAAGCAAAACCCCTGTGCTCTGAAGTGAAGCAACAGATTTATGTTTCACCTGGTTTTCTGGTTTACAAGTAACTGAGGCTGCCTGTTTGGATTCAAGTTTGTTTTCTTCCTTTGATAGTCAGCAGACAGGAGAGTTTAAGACCATGCAGTTCTACACAATTTGCTGATTGATGAGTAAATCAAATGTTTCCTCAGTGAACCAGCACAGGCAAAAAGGGCACATTTCCCTCTCTGTAATACATCTGGGATTTTCAAGGAATGGCAACATGTGCATTTCAAAAAGCATCTTCAGACAGAAATACCAATAATTACCCAAGAAAGAGAAGCCTTGAAAATAAGGTGCTTTGTCCAGCTGTGCATTCTGACTCAAAAAAGCTGGACAGTTTTCTAGAATTTACAACTGGACAGCAGCCAGGACATCTGGGGTGTTTCAGCTCTGGGCCTGTTTTGGCAAGAGAACCAAATTCACTCAGTTTTGACAAGCACACATGCCCTCCATCATCATCATCATCATCATCATCTCATGACTGCACAGATATCGCCCCTAGTTTCAGCCTGAACTATTTTGCGATCATATTCTTTGTCTCAGAGAACACACACTTTTCTACATTCACGAGCACCCAGAGCTGCACTTCTTTACAGTTACTTGTAAGTGCCTTTTATTTTAGCAATCAACACCCCAAAAAACTCTGCAGCAAACCTGCCTATTTGCAATGTTAGATTCTTGCACTTCAAAATTGATCACCTCCTAAATTTCTGTCATGAAATTGTTTTCATTAGAAGGAACCGTAAGGTGGATGCACCACACTGATCCCAACAGTGCATGTGGTTGTCACCATTCCAAGAACAAATGAGATCTTTTAAATCCCAGCAGAGGCTTTAGACTTTACTGCACCAATAAATGTCTAAAATAAGAGGGAGTTAGAAAGCACAGGGGAATTGAAAGACATGTTTTGTATACAAATGACAGCTGAACTATGGTCAATCAATATTTTTAGTTGTCATGCTGCTTTTCATTTGTAATGAGCATCACAGGAGAAGCAAATTGGAAATATCGCTTTGGCAAACTGTTCAACAGCAAGTCCAGTCCTTGGGAGTAACTTTGCTAAAACGAAATTACTACATTTTGTAAATGTAGTACATTTTATGTAAAGAATTATACTGAAGCAGTACCCAACCCCATTCAACTCTTCTCTGATGCCTGTGACAGGCAGGGTAAGAACTAGGAAGTCTGAGCTTTGATTTGTACCAAAATTTTAGGGTTATCTCATTTCTAGAAAGACATCTGTGAGGCTAGAATAGGGCTGAACCAAAAGGAAAATGGTTATTTATGAATTTTTAAATAAGAAAATATTCAGTGGCTTCCTCTGAATAAAGCTAATGGAAATGTTTAAAATTTCTCTCCAACTCAATGGGAACAGACCAAACAATTTTGAAAACTGAGTGGAAGAGAAAGGGAAGAAAAATAACTCTAAGGAAATGCTTTGATTATGTCAGATTAGATGCTTCAAAATAGATTTTCCTTGTTCTTGGACTAAAAAAAACCCCAAGGGAACCAAAAAAACACAACACGTTTTTTCCTAATACTTTAAACAGTTACCAACTGACAGCAATGAAATTTTGACAACATTTGAATCAAGGTGTCAAACAATTGTGCTTTTAAACTTTCTGATTAAAAGCTCCTTGAGAATATTTATTTGTTAATATAGGACCTCTGAGAATTTTCGTTGCAAATAAATATTGCCCAGGGGCATTAACTGTGCCAAGGTTGGGAAAAAGATGAAAGCTTCATCTGTGCGGAGAAGCTGTAATGCAAACTGCCAGAGGAAAGATTTTCTTCTCTGGCAGCTCTCAAGCAAAAAAGATCTGACACACTTCACTTCCAGAGATTTGAGCACAAAACAGGAAAAATAGCTAGAGTTTCAAGATTTTCAGAGCTACTCAGAGACCCAAATGAATAAAAGCCTACCTATACCAGAGACAATCTGAAAATACCTCAAATATCTCAAAATATATCAACAATCCAGACCTGTGGAGGAGGCAGCCCAGCACACACTTCCTTCTGGCTGATGACAGCTCTTACTTTTAAAACACAGATGAAATCTGCCTGGTAGAGGTGGTAAAAGGTGCCAAGCAGGTCTGCCTGAGTATGTTACAGCCCCCAGCCTTGGGAGAGGAAAGGATATAAACTCTCAAGAGCTACCCAAACACAGAAGGGGCCTTCAAAATGTTCTGGTCATGTCTTGATTAAAGTATATTTTTAGGGCAGCATAAAGGAGCTCACAGGGATCCAGTTCTGCTATGCAAGACGTGTCATCCTCTTTGAATCCTGTTTGCAGGACAGACTGGTAGAAGAGAACACACTTCACAGCACACAGAGCCCTGGAATTCACCAGAAGGCTGCAGAAGCATGGCCAATGCCAAACAAGTGCAAGTAACAGGTGTTTGCCTCCCATGAGATGCTAATTTTGAAGAGGACACCAACCTGTTCTGAGATATTTTGACAGCACCGAGTGCCTGTGTTGGCAATGCCCCAGACCCCCCTCCTGCAAACACTGTGGGCATGGGACTTCACACACAGCAGCAGCAGTGCAAGCAAGAGGCAGAACACACAGTTTTATGGCTCAAGCTCTAAATAATTACAGAACAACCTACCATTTCCACGGTGCTGGCTGGAGTCAGGAAGAAATTCCTTAAATTCAGGAAGTAACCCTCTAGTTGTCCAATTAGGAGAAGTAAGATAACCCCATCTGAAAACTAGATAAGAATTACCTGAAAATTATTTGGCTTTAGTAAGCTATTGCAGTAAAAGCCATTCTAGCAATAAAATAATTTAAATGTTACTCAGGCAAGCAGACAGTCTAATGACCCAGCTCCCTCAACCTCTTCCACAGTGAACTTCATATTTAGTTAGATAAGGCTCCAAAATTCATATTTGTGGAAATACAACCTTGTAAAAGGACAGCTGTTAAAACAAACTATTCCAGATAGGAAAACACTTCAGAGGAGCACAAATGCATAAGTATAAATAATAGAAAATTGTGCCTAGTTATGTATGACAAAACACTTGAAAGCCTTCTTTTCTTACAGTTGCCCACTGGAAAAATCCAGAAGAGCACCCTGTTCACCAGAGCGCAGGGTGCTCAGCCCAAATTCTCTTACAATTTCATACACTAAAGAAGCTCTACAGTTAGAGGATGAGACTTTGAAATGTGATGAAAATAAGGCCTTCATACCATGAAGCAAATGCAGCAACAACAATCACTAAATACAGCAATTCACTTGATTTTCATTTTAATGTTCAGGAAACCTTTATTTCCATCCTGACAAAGAGAGCACCCTTAGGAGCTGGGCACACTCTGAAAATTACTCCCTGTAGCATTACAAGGGCAGCATTCAGTACAAAGGCCGTATTCTTGCATTAGTTATTAGCTTCAGAAACTTCAGAGACCAAAGCTTGATAGCTTAATGTAAACCTGGAAATCATTATGTTGCCAAATTTCAAATTTACTGTAATAAAAAGGAGAATTCCTAATGGTGAGAGGAAACACCCAAATGGCTGATGAAACATGGGTACCATGCAGCTTTGAGGACGCTACCTGAGATTCGATGTCTTTGACATTTAATCCTAATTTTCCAACATGCTGGTCAACAAATTGCAGAAGTGCCTAAAGAAAAAAAAAAAAAGAGAAGGAAGGGGGAAAGGAAAAAATAACTTTTTCAGTATTTAAGCTCAGCCTAACAGATTTTGATGTCTACTAGAAAAGTAAATTACCTTTTTTACAGCATGCTGTTTATCTGGAGCACAGCTAAATAATTCATCAAAGGCATCATCTTCTGTATCAAAACAACATTAATTGGTTTCATTTTTAATAACTGAGAGATCAGAGCTTTAGTGTGGCTACAGAAGGGGAAAGGTATTTGCAGCTTGGAATCCAAGGAAGAAAAGAATAGCAGGGAGGCAGAGAAAGATGCTGCTTTTATATTTATCAGAGGACAGGATGACAGGCTTCCCTTCAGCCTGACCATATCAGAGAAAACAATTTACTTCATTCAGCTCTTCATTTTCACCTGCAGAGATTCTGAGTTTGTGCTGCCATCAGTCTGAGCACTGGCTAAATTTCACGTTACTACAGTTTATTTCTTTTCATTTAGTTTTTTTTTTTTACTCGGAACTTCTGGGATAAAATGCAAGGAGCAGAAGAACTGTGTGTTTTACTGCTCTTCTCAAATAGAAATGTCAGTTACACCAAATTTGCAAAAAAAAAACCAGCCTCCTTCCTTCAAAAAACCACAAGCAAGATATGGAGACTCTGCCCTTCCTCTGAAAAGTCAGAGACCTCAAAAATGGCCAGTGCTGCCACCAGTTTTAAGTAGGCAAGAAGCTGGTGCCAGCAGAGCTGTGCCAGAGAACTAGGAGGACTATAAAACTTCCAAGGAAATGAGATCCATCCAAGTCCCACCCTCACCTCCCCTTTCTGCCCAGGTGCAGCAAAAGCAGGATCCATCTCCTCACCCAGCCACAATTCTGGTTCAAGCATGAGCAAAATATTTGAAACACTCTGAGCAAGGAGAGGCATTCTGGCAGCTCAGTTAAATGGAGAAACAGCTTCTACAGCACAGGAAAGCAGAGGCAGCTTTGCTTAAGGGAAATTCCTCCCAAAAGACAGTGACAGAGAAGCCTCCTTTGTGAAAGGGATTCCTCAGGTTTCTCTGTTCTGCCTGTTGGGGGTTGCTGCGGGAGCAATGTCAGGGAACAGGTGGATGCATCAAACAAATCAGAGAGAGCCCTCTTCTGGAACCATGCTTTGGGATTTCTCTCTTTGCTAAGAAAGCTGTATCAAAAATAGAGAGAGAGCATCTTGAAGAGTGAATTGCAGATTTCTCTTCCCAGCAGAATCAGCCCCATTACAAGAAACACGTACTTATGGGTTGGGGGTTTTTTCTTCCTTTTTTTTTTAAAGGGGGGGTGGTTTATTTTTTGGGGTTTTTTTGTTTGGGGCAGGGAGTGAGAGTTGCAGGTTTTTTCACTATTTCAGCCCCCACTATAGAACACTCAGTGGAATAAGTAAGATATTAAATTATATTGTTTGCATCCCTGCAAAGTATGAAAATGCCAAAATAAAGGACACAGCAGAGAATTCAACTAGTTGCCTTGGTTCTCTGAGGGTGCAGTGTGCTCCTTTGCAGCAGGGAAGAGCAGCTCACACTGAAGCCAGAGCAATTCCCAGACCTTCTGCAGGCTTTGGGGACACTTTTCACCCCAAGTATTTCCCAGCCCTCAAAAGCCCTATGGGTGAAAGCTCTGGGGATGTTTGACTGAGCTGCCATCCATGACCCAGTACCAGTGGATTGCAAAATCTCATTTGCAAACTGTGGGAAGGAAAGTACAAAAACCGGTAGCAACGAGAAACATAGTTCTGAAGCCTTTATAAATAGTTCCAACAGTGAATATGGTCCATGCACAAATCCAAGCTGGCATTTTGCCTCCAGACAGGTTTCTTTTTTGGGGTCATCAAGCCACCTTCATGCCCTGTCTCCTCTCCCATCTGTTGCCCGTAGCCCACAGGCAAAGTGACCACCCATTTTCCAAGCTGTATTCTGCTGGTATGAACAGGAATTAACAGAAGACATTTGGAGAAAAACACCAGGAAAAAATCCATTAATCTCCATTAACTTTAGTGGGAGCATACTGATTTTATCATGGGGTAAAAATGGATCAGGACATGGTGTATAAAGGCACATAATGAAACACTGAACTAGGCAATGTCAGCACTTACTTGACTGTGCTTCCATATTCTCTCTGGAAGTACAATAAAAAGCAAGAATTAGAAAAATTATTCAGCAGGGCTGATCTTATTCATCAGCTTTGCTTATCTGCTATCCTGTAAAGCAGGAGATAGAGTTTAAAGTGGCATCAACTTTATGTCAGAGTGACTTTCCAACAGACATTTTAAAGTAGATTGTATATCTGTGTAGGGTCTTGGAAGCATATGAGATTTTAACTGGCCCACACACCAAGAAACATTTATTTTACAAGCTCAATCCTCAATATTCTCTTCCAATAAGCTGCTCATGATATTAGAGCTTGAAGATGTTTTGGCATATAAAAAATGATAGTAGGAAAATCTGTTTCTAGTTCTTAGAATGATGTGCGTGTTTTTTTGGTATATACATGGTATCCCACTAAACTGCTTTAATAATGGCAGTACCTCGAACACTCAGCAAGCTAAAACATTTCTTTCACAGTAAAATAAGAAAAGAACTGCCTCTTTCCCTTTATTTGAAAACAAAACAGTGGCAAATTTAAAGTAGATTTAAATCTTTGTGGCTTCAGCAAATATGCAGTTTAGTTTCACACAGGTAAATTTACAGTACTGGAATTTTATTACTGTATTTGCTGTGAAATTCCATGGCAACAACAAATGCTAAGCTTAAGGAACAATCATGCATATTGTTTTATATATAGAATAAATAAAGGTATTGCACTATAATGCCAAACAGGAAGAGCGGAATCAAAAAAAAAGGGAAGAAATCAGAGAAACAACTCACATACATATACATGCCTGGGCTTACATCTCTTTCATCACCACAATCCCAGCTAATTTTTGTGAGGGGGAACACACCCACAATGTTTCTTTTCTGAGTGACAGTGTAAAAGCCAGATATATCCCCTCTTACTTGTTTTCTGTGATATATTCCACCGCATTTGAGGTCTTTAATCCTCTGGAGGTAGTCTGTTGAAAGGACAATAAACAATGTTTGGTTTGTCACACAAAGACAAGCTTTCATGACCTGTTTGCTGCCTTAAATTATTATCAGAGGGCATTTATTCAATAACTCCAGTACAATTAGTACAGTTACTTTGAGAGATTTCTGCTTCCCTCTGCTCTCTTCAGTTTCAAACAGGAAATCTCTTACTTCCCAATCAGAAGAAGTCCTTGGTGTTTGCTTCTCTTCCATTTCATGCAGTGAAAAACATTCTGTGTTCACATACACTGGTGGTGCTAATTTTTTGCAATTATAAATTGTAAATAAATACAAAATAAATAAATATTATAAAATAAAATATAATCATAAAATAAATAAATATATAATAAATAAATCTTCTCCTACAGTCTCAGAATTGACTTTAAGAAACAAAATAGAGGAAGAAAACATGTAGATATCTGCTTGTAGAGAAAAACACCAAAATGTGACCCTTACAGAAGGGGAGTAAAAACTCCCTAAAAAAAGAAATATTCAGCATTAAAAAAACCTTCATCATTTATGAATACAATCTTCTATGTTAAAATATTTAGAGACAGTAACAGCAGAATTTCTTCATTTTCTTCTTTACAGAGATCAACATCTGCTTTCAGTTTGGACAATTCCCTTGTTTGGTGAGGAAGAAAAACAGCATAGTGCTTTTCCCCTTTTAAAGACAGAGTATCCAAACTGAATACTTAATCTAATCCAACAAACTCAGAAACTGAAAAGTGTGGTTCACAGAAAATACCACTATCTCTTTCCCAGCTGAACATTTCTCTCATTCTAAGCAGGTTAGCCTTGTGAAAGGACTTTAGGATCTACTGTAACAAATACAAATCAAACTACAAATACCTCGATGGTGATTGTCTCCACTTGAACATTTGGAGGCAGAGCCAGGGTGGGTTCAAAGTGCTTTGCTATTGCAACCAGAAGATGCAGTGTGCTCAGTAAGTCTTTTGCCAAGATAGCTATAACGGAAGAAAACAATGCTCAGTGTGCAAAGCATGTGAACTTCCCTGTAACATAAGAATTCTCCCTGTGCACAGAACCCCCTAGTCATGGAGGGCTATAACACTGGTGGAACACCAGATTGGGGTTTGTATAACATCAAAATTTAGCAATAGCACAGCTTAAAAGAGCGACATACAGGGATGTTGAGGGCTCTTAAGTGATCCACAAGCCACACACTTAGAAGAGGCAGACCCAAGTGGACTCAGATATTTCTGTCTCACTTTTGATTCAACTAGTAATTGAAAACAGGTTGTTTAATTACTGTTCTGGCAGCATGTTGCCTCACAGCATCCATATAGCACAAGAAGCCTGTGATGGATAATTTTGTTCGATTTCACTTCTGCACCTACATTCCACACTCCATTTCAGCTGACTTTCTTCCAGTTGCAAACACTTGGCCACAACTTCCAGAATCACAGAGAGTTTCTGTCGCTGTTTTTTTTCTGTTAATGCAATCTTCTCAACATCCAGCTTGAGAGATCCTACGTTTTCTTTTACAGAGGATCCATAGGAAGAAGAAGGATGTATTTTAACATCATTGTAAGGAAAAAGAAAATAATTAGAAACATAAAATGACAGCAGAGCACACAAAGTCTTGTTTTGAATGTTCAATATAATTTAAGAGCTCTGCAAAAGGGAGAGGACTCAAGTCACTCCTTGTAGTGTTATCCCCCAGCCCTAGCTCTTTCCATTTCTTCTACAGAAATCCAAGGAGTGAATCTTTCCTGTAGATAATACACAAAGTTGGTATCAACTCATATATAGAAGAAATCCAAATTCATTGCTCAGGCAAGTAAACTATGAAAAATCAGCCAGTCCTGCTCATGCTGCTGCTCTCAGCCTTCATGAAAAGGAAATAGATGTAAAAGATGTCCCCAAGGAGAGTGAAAAGTGTAAGAAAAATATATTAGGGACAGGAGAGATGGAGAAATAGAAATAGGTAACAGGCTGCTCCAGGGGATCACATCTTTATACAAACACTACATAATGCCAAAAGCCTCTTAGATTTTTACCAGTTCCAGAACAATTCTTTGGACTCAGAGCTTTAAATATTTCTTTTCTTTTCTTTTTTTAAGGCAAAAAAACATATACTACAGTGCTGATTCCATCCAGTGTTTCTGATAGCACCACAAGCCACCTTTGTGTTCCTGGTTTATGTTCCTGGTTTGTGTTCCTCCTTCATTTCAGAAGCACGGAATTTTACACTTCATAGTTAACCTTTTCATTATCTCAACTAGCCGATATTAAGAATTTCTTAGAAGTAAAATAACCATGTGAAACAATAGTGGGATTTTGTTCAGAATTGTGATTATCACAGCTGGCCCCCAGTGCAGTGAGAAGAGATGACAGGTCCCTGCTACTGTGATTCCTGAGGTTTATTCTCTGCTTGGAAAGTTCCTCCATGAGATGTCTGCAAGAACTAAACTCAAAGGAGCAGCTCACCCAGGAGATGATGAAGTACCAGCCCATCATACAGGTCTTCCTCCAGACTTTTAACTACTATGTGTTCCTCTTTCAGAGTTCTGTTGATCCACTCAGTCAAGAACTGCAGGGGAAAACAAAGCAATTATAATCCTGCTGTTCAGGCAGCACAGCACTTGGTTATATATTCTTTTTCACCTCTCTCTTCAGTCCCTTATCTCAGATCTCGGTTTGCTTTCAATCTCCACTTCCTTTGTGCTTTTTGGTTGTTTTCTAAAGGGTTAATTTTTCCTAATTATCAAGTGAGACAGACATCTTGCTACTTATATTCCAAGGAATTATGTTATACATCTCGGGAAAGAGACCCTCTTCCCACTTCCACCAGGGAAAAGGCTGCACAGTGCACTTCCCATCCCCTGCCTTCACCCCACACCACAGAATTCACACAAATTCAACTGCCAGTAAGAAAACTGTAAGAAAAGAGGCTTGGCTCATTCTGTGGGTAGTTTCTTGTACTCATCCACACTATTAGCACTCCTCCTTCTCATCTCCTGGTTTTGTTTTCTTTTTCTTTCTGCAATATTTCTGCACTCAATCCCCAAATACCTCCTTGGAACTTTCTTATGTGGCAGTCCTCCCACTGGCCTTCCAATATCCCTCCTGCCTTTGCAAGGGGGAAGCTGCTCAGGAAGCCAAGGTCTGGCTACAAAAGGAGAGGAACCACATGTGCTCCTAGGTGGAAGAACAAAGCAGTTCCTCAGTGCTTCTCCAAGCATGTGTTTTATTCATGTGTGTTGACGGAAAGGGAATATGACCTGGTGAAGCAGAACAGAAAAGCAGTACCGCCAGCTGGCTGCCAACATGAAGATCCCTCTTGTAAGAGGGAAGGGTAGTGCTTTTATTGTTGTGATTGTTATGAGTGAGTGTCAATCCTTCTCACTTGCTGTAAACAGAGGAGAAAATTCATACCAGATTCCTGTAAGCTTGCCAACATTAACAAAAATGTAAGAAGGGTTTGAAAAGAAAAGTCTCTGGGAAGCTTGAAACTGCACAAGAAATAAAAAAGCCTGAACTGGGAAGCTGTCAAACTGTAAAATGCACCTCAGCTAAGAAGTAACAAGAGCAGAAAGCTGTGGTCTTCAGCTGATGCTTGGTAACACTTTGGATGTGCAAGGGGTAGAGCAGAACTCCAAACACAAGAGTCCAGCCAGAGGGAAGTCAGAAAAGCAGCAAGCACTGCTGAGCACCCCTATGGTATCCCTCCTTTGCTCTCCCAGCTCAACACATCCTGCATCCCTCCTTTGCTCACCCAGCTACATGCACAGCCTGCAGCTCACACAGTTCTGCTTTCTGCCCAGTTGTGGGGGCCCACTCAGCTGCAGAGCAGAGCCTCATGTCTACAAATGAGCAAACAGGGAAAGTAGAAAAGGAATGCTTTGACAAGTTTGCTGCTGGCTTCTGAGTGTAACCATCTTCTAATTTACATGCAGCTGGGTATTTATAGCAACTACAGGGAGCCATTTAGTATTTCTCAGTTCTCCAAAGCTGCCTCAAAATGAAAATGCAGTGAAAGTCTCTCCCCCCAGTGAATTTATTTACTTCCCTTGTTCTTCCCTTGAAAATTCCTCCCTTTCCCTGTCTCCATCCCAAATGTTTCTCTAGAGAAGCCATCAAATCTTTAGATTAAGAAGGCAATCAAGGGGCACTGATGGGAACCCAGAGGACTTTGTCTCCCTCAGGACACAATTTCCATCTCCTCATCACCCCAAGAAAAGATATCAGACAGTGATGAACATCATTTCGGGAATCTCTGACAGGAAGTGAATTAAGCACTGAAGCTCACAGAATTTTCATAACTGAGGAAAACTCTTCATTTTTGGCAATCTCAAAATAACAAATCCAGTCTTTCTGTAGACAATATAATTGCATTTTGCAGCATCACTTTTCAGACTTTCCCTTTGGTATAACAACATCATGAAAACCTGACACAAAATCTTTTTGATCAAATGTGCATGAATACCTAATATAGAAACACACCTCCCTACATGTTTATAAATGATACAAAATACAAACAATAGCACATATCTTAAGCTGCTTTTCATAATATTTATAACAATTTCAGCACCTCTATAATGCAAGGATTGCTGGTCTCATAAGACACATGCCACTTTTCTTCCAGGAAGTTTCATTACGTGGACTGTGCCATTAGAGAAATTGAAATAATGATTGAACACACTGGGGAGACTTTCAAAATTAGATGGAAATAAAGCACTTGCCTGTGGAATGGGACTGATCCTTCACAATTACCACACAAGAGCCTGAAAACTTTCATCCTGATTTCCTGGTGACTTGCATACTCTTCAGCCCATCCCCCTCTGCTCTCTTCTAACCTTGCCAGCTGAGCCAGCTGCTGGTGAAGGCTTGCTGCAAATCAGTAGAGCACTCCTAAAAGTTACCATGGGATCAGTGCAGCAAACCTGCACTGTATCACTCTTTAGACACAGCAAATGCTGACATGGGTCTGCTTGAGGTTCCAAGATTCCCAAGAATCCCTGGATTCTTGTAGCTATTACCTTACCATCACAATGAAAGAGCAACTGGGTGCTTCTGGTGTGGCTCGCCCACACAGCCCAGGTTAGGATAGGTGTCACATCAGAAGCCACTCAGGTTTGTATCTGCATTCCACACCCAGCAGTGCTCACTGCATTGGAAGCATGATCCTGTATGGTCCCAGCCACCCTCATACTGTGCTGAAACAAAAGTTCTGCTTCCTTTGTTTGAAGCCCAAAAGCAGAGCTCATTCTCATCTGTAGAGTGGGGGACTGGAGTCAGAGGGCTGGGCAATTTACAGGGCTGAAAGAGGTTAAAGAACCAGGTTCTGTTTGCTTAAGTACAACTTGAAGTGAGGGTTAAACAATGCAGTAAAAGAAGTGGTACCAGTTTCAATTCTTCCAGTTTGGGGTTTTTGCCTGGGGTCGGTTTTATGAGTTTCCTCTTCTCCCCTGTGGAAGGAAGCAAACAAGATCCATCACAGTTATCAGATATGACTAAAGCAAGTGTGCAGCTAAATCTGCTATCAGTTTGATATTCCCAATATGGCTAATTGCCTGATATAGAAACATTTATTTTTCAATTTAGCTAATTCCTTATGAGCAAGAAACTGGTATAGCAGACTACTAAGCCTGCTGTTGGAAATTATGATTCAGTATACTTCAAATGAGTAAGATCTAGATGGACAGTTATAGAAAGAGGAAAACACACTTGGTCAGATCCACATGTGTGAAACTTAAATTTCACTTAAAGAACTAACTGGACTTCATGTTGCTTCTTCATGATCTGCCCCCAAAGAGTCAGCAGCCAAGTTACACACAGAGAGCTTACTAATGTCTGAAACAGCCATGAGATCACTGCTGAATATATACAATTAATTTGTACAGCACATTTTCTGTTTGGCCCTTCAGGTGGTTCTTTGGGCCTTTTTTCTGTCCTGGTTCATAAAGCACATACCTTTAGCGATGACATCCTCAGCTAGGAATCGATCGAGTGTAGAAGGCTGTGTAAATGCATTTAAAAAGTCTGGATCCATTGTCTTTAATCACTCCTAGTAAACTAGTAAAAAAACATTGGGGGGAAGGGAATATGAATAATGAATAACAAAAAGATCAAAATTAGTGCTAAGAAAACAAATCAACTGAAAGGGAGTTTTGATCATTTACTATTTCATCACTAGCTGCTTTTAAAAAAAAATCTGAAAATATATTTAAATGTGTGCAAAGAAAAGAATTAAAAACATTTTTCTTTTTTTTTTTTTGTATTAATCTCAAAATGTAGGAAAAAAAAGACCTGAAGACCTGAACTAAAACTTGTTTTAATCACATCTAATTGTATTTTCCCTGTATTAGGTAAGTAAAATCATATTTCAACCAAAGTGAAAAACAAGCTTTCAGTCCCTAGGTATTCATGGATATCTGCTAGAAAATTTAAAAATTACCAGTACTTAAGGACCATTAAATCAAGAACCCAGTAGTTAAATTACTAAGACAAGTTACAAAATATAAGCAGCTTCCTTTATTGGACCAGCTGGTACAGATTTGGGGAGACAAGGACAGTTATTGGCATCTGAATAGTCTCTCTTATAAATTCTAATACAGAGTCATAGAATCAATTAAATTGGAAAAAACCTCTGAGATCATTGAGTTCCAACTCCTCACCCACCGCTAAATTCTGTTCCCAAGTGCCACATCTGCTTTGCTTTTGTAGCTTTCCAGGGATGGTGACTCCAACACTTCCCTGGGCAGCCCCTTCCAGTGCCTGAGTGCCCTTTCAGTGCAAAACTTTTCCCTCATGTCCAACCTCTCATCCCATCCCTTGTTCCCTGGGAGCAGAGCCCAATCCCCCTCAGCTGTCCCCTCCTGTCAGGAGTTGTGCAGAGCCAGAAGGTCCCCCCTGAGCCTCCTTTTCTCCAGTCTGAGCCGCCCCCCCCCACTGCTCCAGCCCCTTCCCCAGCTCCGTTCCCTTCTCTGGACACACTCCAGCCCCTCAATGTCTTTCTATTCCTGAGGTTCCCAGAACTGCCCCAGGATCTGAGGTGTGGCCCCAGCAGTGCCAGCCCAGGGGACAGTCACTGTCCTGGCCCTGCTGCCACACCAGGGCTGGCACAGCTCAGGTGCCATTGGCCTCCTGCCCCCTGGGCACCCCTGGGCTCCTGTCCAGTGCTGTCCCCAGCACCCCCAGGGCCTTTCCCAGCTTTCCAGCCCCTCTGCCCCAGCCTGGAGCTGCAGGGGGTTGGTGTGACCCAAGGCAGGAGCGGGCCCTTGGCCTTGTGGAATCTCAGACCACTGGCCTGGGCCCATGGATCCAGCCTGTCCAGATCCCTCTGCAGAGCTTCCTGCTCTCCAGCAGCTCCACACTCCCTCCCAGCTGGGTGCTGTCCATAAACTGACTGGGTGTGGCCTCGATTCCCTTGTCCAGATCATCAATGAAGACATTAAACAGGACTAGCCCCAGTGCTGAACCATGGGGACTCCTTGGGACTGGTCACCATCTGGATTTGACTCCATTCCCCACTGCTCTCTGGGCCCAGCCTTCCAGACATGCAAGAAGCAAAATGGTTCTTCATCATAAACTAAATGCACACTGATTTAAGTGCCAGAAATCAGAACTACAAACTGCAACCATACTGTGGCCTGCAGAGGTGCAAGAAATTACAGGAGAATGAGGGCTCTGGACACTTAGAACAGACTATGGTTCCAGCACAGGATGAGTAAGTGAACTCATCCTTCCCAACAGTCCAAAAATCTCTGGAAGTCAGAGCAGAGCAGATGTCATGACCAGACTTTTGCTGCTGGGCCACTACAGGAGAGGGGATGCTGACTGGTTTTGTGCTTTTTTCTAACAGAAAATTACATGCTTCAGAGATTCTTGCAGGAGAGTTCTTCCATTCCCTACCTGGGGTGCCCACATTGAGAGCCCTGTTTCTTAACTCTTCCTGTGAAATGAGTGGGAATGGCACTTTTAAAAACAATCCAGAGCATTTAAATGAGTGACTAGTCCTAGTTTTAAGAATGGAGTTACCTCCATTCTGTTACCCGAGACAGCCCTGGCTGGTGCTGCAGGTGCCTGAAGTAAGGTTCTCCCACCATCCAGAACAAGGTACCTGCTGAAAATGCTGTGGCACAGAACATCTCCAAAGTGACATTCCCCTGCTTGATAGCTTTATACACCAAACAGCACAGTGCTGCTCTGAAGGCTTTCACCTATTTCTTACAGGCTTTGGTCAGTACATGATGAACATGTGTTTTAACACAGATTTTGCCAAAGCTGAGAGAATATCCATAGAAAATAGTAATGGATGCTTTTACACATCAATCTGGCAAAACAAATTGGTACAAAATTGCCAGCAAGGCACTAGGAGAAAGGGTCACAAGAGAATTCATTTCATTATGGTGGCAGCAAAACTGAATGCTATCTGTAAAAAGGTGCTTGTTAAAAAAAAGATGGGAGAAATTGAATGATGTTGTGCCTGAGGAACAACTGAACTGTGTGAGATAAGACTGCCCAGATGAATTTAACTGAGAGAAGTTAATTAACAGAGAGCAACCCTAAGGACAGCTTGTTTTTAAATTAGGTTTCTGACAGGAGTGATGCCTTGGGGATGTCCAGCTTATAACAGAAATGGTCTGTGTAAACCACAACTTACTCTCACTCAGCTTTGCAATATTCCATTTGTGTACCTTCTACTTCCTTCAACTATCAAAGTGGTGTGTGCTGCCTGCCACACCCCTGGGCCCTTTTTGGCCAAGGATCCTGAACATCAGAAGCCACTCTAAAAACTGGAAACCTGTAAGGAAAGGCCTGGAATTCAGAATTTGTAATAAGGTAGCATAATACCCTTTAGGGCCTCAGTCCTGTGTGACAGTCAGAGTTAAAATTGCTACCCTGGGTAAGATTAACTTGCCTGGGTGTCCAGTCCCCCCCTTTCAGTACCTTAGGGGAAAAAAACAGAACCCCAAGATCTATAAGCAGTGTAAGGATATAGACACTTCCCCTGCAGTGTCCCCATTAACAGTCTGCAGTTCAGCCTTCCTAAAGCAAAGCAGGTCACTAGGAGCTGTCAACACATTTACTCCTCATGAACTCCCTGCTCACCCCTTGAACATGTCTGTCTCTCTCAGCCCTCAGCAGCGAGGAGTGCAGTGTGGCCCTACATCACCTGAAGCCCCATCTCTTGTTTCTTGCTCTGACCCACCAGCTGTCCCTGAAGGCAAAGGCCAACTGATCCACAATTTCACATTACTGTGTTAATGCTCCATGTCACTCCTGCCCTACAAATCCAAAGCCTCCCTGTCCATCTCTTTCCAAAACTGAGCTAAGACAGCCAACAGCTGCCCTTCCCTGGAAAACCAGCTGCTCATCCTCAGTGCTCTTTTCTGAGCTTCCTCCAGCATGATCACAGCCTTTTGGATGTGCTAGGAACCAGATCTGCCCAGATTTAGAAGGGTGCACTGCAGCATTCACAGTGGTCTCTGCTCCTCTCCTCCTAAGTCCTGTTTGCTTTTTTCATCACTGCTGACCCTTTATTGGGAGTTATCTATTAGATCTCCAAGATCTTCTTCCTACACAGCAACACACCATTGAGAACCCATCATTTCTTGTATTTCAGCTCACATTTATCAGTATTGATTTCCCACAGCATTTCAGAGCCTGAGAACTGCAGTTCTCCAGCATTTAATAGACCCATTGCTTATTACTCATAATTAGCATTCACGAGCAGCCCTTCATGTGGCTGTGCAGCATATTGGTGAGGCTTGGTCCCAGGCAACAGCCTTTCAGAGAATAACATACTGCAGGAAGAACACAAAATGGAACATGTCAGGGCTGGGACACCTCCTTGGGTGAGCTGTTTAATGAAAAACAGGAAAGGTCAGAAGAGTTGGTTCTCACATGCAAATTTCCATATTTGCTGCAACCAGCACCTGACACCCATCAGTTAAATTCGCTGCTCAGAGGCTGACATGCTGGTTTTGCAGCCCACATCCTCCTGCACAAGTTTTTTTATCAGTACTTGGAATACATAGTAAGAGACAACTGCTTGAATACTGACTGTACAGGCATTTCATTATGACATCTTTAAATAAAATAGCTGCTTAATTATGGACTATTCAAAGGAAATAGCAGTCTCTGAATAAAATGCTCATTCTCTGAGAATGACATGGATATACAGGATTTCCTTTAAACCCAAGGGGTGTTTGATTTCTTGTGTGCCACCTGCAGTGGCTGCCAAGAAGGGAATTGTTCTTAGGTCAGGAGCTAGGCTATTGTACAAACTTGCAATGTCACAACTACTGATAAACAGCTAATTCTCAGGCTGGGTCAGAGCTTACTTTTCCTGCATGAGTCTTCACAGGGTCTGGCTCCCAGATATCCCCAAGGCACCACACAAAGCACTAATGGGGGTCTCTGGCTTATAAATCAGCTGTAGAATATTCACAAGACATTTTCCAATCCTACCAAACTCTTTCACTTGTTTCATTTCATGTTTGAAAAGACAAAAGCCCTACTCTGCCTACCTCAAATAAGTAGATCACAAAAAGAAAGAGAAAAAAAAACCAAATGGGAATGTTAATAGTAATATTTCCACCTTTGGGAAACCAGAATTAAAAAATAAGAGGGAAAGAGAATGCACATTGTGAACACAGTTTAAAGTGTAGTATAGTACCCTGTATAGTATCTTTTCAGGAGCCATCTTTGCTCATAAGCATCAGAACAGATGTTATCTTAGTAAGAACAATCCACAGAGAGGCAGAAAATCTTCCAGTTAAGAACACTAACTATGAAAAAAGTACCCAAAGGAGCCCCGTTTTCCAGACTTACTATTCTGTCCTTCAGTAACTCTCCAGAAGCTCTTCCAAGACCTTATCCCACCAGGAACAACACAATTTCTGGGTGAGAATGCTGAGCCCAGGCTTGGAGGTCTCCCATGCAGGGCAGCACAAAGCACACAAAGGAGAAGTTGTGCCCTAGTGCTCGGCTCTTAAAAACGAAACCATGGTCCCATCCGGAACTTAATTGTGTGCTGGTCCCTGCTGCAGAGACTGAAATAAACAGGAGCACAAGTGCAGGAAACATGCAGCCCTGCAACTCCTGAAGCACCAGAAAGCATTAAAAAGATATGATTGTTCTTGGATGGCACTGCCCAGCATGACCGGGCTGCTCTGCCTCTGGGGTGACTCAGAGAGCACTTATGCTTTGTATATAATAAAAAACTAGAAAAGAGCAGACAAGAGCATGTTCCAATACACCTTTTTCTCATGCTCCTTTGAGTATTTTATAAAGCAGAACAGCACCACTCTACCTACCCAGCAGATGGAGAAACCTAGAAAATTAATTTATTTATCCTTAGAGAGGAAGTTAGCCACAGCAGTGCCAAAAACTCTGGTATGAGACATGAGTTATCTCCAGCAGGCAGTGCTGCTGCTCTTCCTCCCCCTTTTACATTGCTGATTAAAGAGGAAGAGCTCCCTACAGAAACCACTTTCCCTAGACATTTCCTTCAGGTGTGAGTTGCATTTATTAACACACCTATTTTCCTCCAAAACCTGATGTAGTGACCAGTGCATGGAGTATCCAGACTTCTGTAGAACAGCAGGAGTCAATCCTGTATGAGCTGCATTTGATTTCATGCCTATGATGCCTAAAGATTTTTTGCTTTTTATACATTTTTCATGTATTTGTAGTTTTGCAGATAACTGCTAATACATGGTTATATAGTTCCTGGGATATTCCTACCCTTGCTCTTAGGTTGAGTAATAAGCAATCCCTTTTAACATTGCTGAAATTCTGTTGAGTCTTATTCTCAAGAAGAGAGCCTCTAACAAGGACATTTTGTTTTGCAACCAGAATCTGAAGAGACATCACAAGAAAATAGGGCACGGAAGTCCCTGGACCAGCTCCGAGGGCCTAACCCAGGGTGGGTGTTTCTGTAAGTTCTCAAAGCACATCTCATGCACACACCCCCACCACAAACACTTGGCCCTCACAGGAAAATAGCCACTGAAGAACAATTCAAGGATTCAACAGCAATAACAATTTCTGATAATGCATTTTCCTGCTCTTTCACATGGCCCTACTGTATTAGAGAGCCACTCAATACTCTCTGCACACCAGAGCAAAGGGAAGCTCACCATCCATAAGTTCTTCCCACAGATATTTCCATTAAGAAAAAAAAAAAGCAGAAAACATAGTGATCATTTTTTTTATTTGAATAAATAGTTCAACTGTCAAAAACCATGCATAAACACTCCTGCTGTGAATTTTAGCAAACATAGCATTGCATTGTAACTTGCTTACAGTACGCAACTCTTATCACTAAGATGGATGTCTCCAACATATAACAAGTCCAGAATTTTATCTGCAAGGCTGGTTTTTAGTAGTTAGAAATCCAGAGTAAACATTGTTAAAAACAGTAGAAAAGACTCTTAAAAACACATTAATACTGAAAGCATTGGGGTGTGGGGAAGAGGAGTAAGAAATCTTATAAGGTTTAAATCAATTTTTAAAAATCTGCCACTGTCCATTTTTCATCTTGAAAAACAGAATGCAGCTGAGGACTACATGAGCTTTCAGTGGTAATACAGCTCACTGTAACTATGTGTCAAGTAAATGCACCTAAAAGTCAAGTTATATGGACTGGAAAAGACAGACACTCATTAAGTACTTACAAATGTGGGAGCTTTTATGCTTCAGAGCAGTCAAGCATTCCAGATGAACTCAACAGGATTCAGACTGGTACCCATATGTAAAACCCCAGTAACACAAAGATACCATGAATAACTTTTTTAACACTGACTCAGCTTTTTGAGAATCAAAAAATTATGGTGCATGTGTCATAGAAAGGCATGACAAAAGCAGGTTTTCAGAGAAGCTTTACCTGCATGGCTCCTCCTGGAAATTGGGATGAAGCCACATTTCAGTTCCATCTGCCCTGCTCACAAATCCGGTTAACAATAAATACAGTGTCTACAGAACAGTGAGCTGGCCAGACAGACAGAAGCTAAGGAATGAAAAAAGTCTTTTCCCTGTGCAACATCTACCAACAAACAGGACCACAACAGAATGGGCTATGACTCCTGATCCAGGGAGCAGTCTTGGCTGACTGGGATATTAACAGAAGGAATGCTAAAGGAGACCCATGGTTGTAGCAAGGAGACCAGAAACACAGAATTCAACAAAACAGACACTCTTCTATAACTTGTCATAACATGCTCACCTCTGCTTATGTGCCCTGAAGATGCCAGCTCTATGATCCCAGCTCAGAAACAGCCATTCCCCTTTCCAAAGCCAAATCACCCTCAGCCATCTCTTCTTTTTATCTTCTGTTTGCTTTTGATATTAATACTGCTTGCAATTTCAAAATCTACACTCTCTGGAGGTCTTTCCCAACAACTCAGAGAATATAAACAGAGTTTGCACCTCCACATCACCTGAAGGAAGGAGGATGAAATAACTCTTTAACAGACTTGCTTCCTGCAAATACCCCTGCATTAAACTAAAAGTTTGAGACCTCTCAGCTCAATGACTTTCCAGCCTCGTGATACCTGTATTTCTCAGCACAAAAGTTAGAGCAATTTCCTTCACCTGCCAGGAGAGCTGTCCACCAGGCCTTAGCACCTGTGCAAGTCTCCTCTCTTGGTGCTGTGGTGGAGTTTAGCGGCCACATCTGAACTGCACATCCTTGTTCCCGGCTCAGTATAAACAGTGAGAGATCAGCTCCTTCCTAAAGCACAGGCATGCAAAGATTCCCCAGAGAGCCTTGCAGAGGAGATGTTAATTTTTCATGCAAAAAAACCCCACAACTTCCATATTTTTTTTTTTTAGCAGTGTGAGGGGAGGTGATCCAAGTAATCCAAATACTAGAACTTGGAACCCAAAAATACAATGCAAAGAAGCAGAAGCCCATTTCCCTCCCTCTGAGGTGAAAAACTGTTTGAGAAGGGAAGGAGAAAATCCCAATTGTAAAATTATACCATTCAAATAGCATGTCTCCTTTTGAATCTGAGCTCAAAGGCAAATAATGTTTGGTGTAAAATAACTGCTATTTAGGGAAGGAAGATGCTGACTTACAACAGGACTCAAGTGAGCCCATGGAGCAGAGCAATTGCACCTGCTCTCCTTCAGGGCCCTCTGCCTAGTGTTTCAGCCAAAGGAATGGATTCCCATAAAACAAAAGCTGCTGCTGTGATACATGAAAGTAGCAATCCAATCTCTCCTCTGTGTGTTCAAAGGAAAAGGGTGATATTGAATGCATATTCCACATATCATTTTCTCTGGAAATGCCAATCCCATTTCCTCCACAAAGCTCTCCTCAAAAATCCGCTCAGATGGCTCCTGTTCCAGCACATTCGCTGTGTTAGTTTCAAGAAGGACAGGGGAAAATGCACTAATCCAGCCTGTACCTGTGTGACCAGCTCTGGACCAACCTGAGGTTGACAGGTAGGTTAGGACCAACCTAACGGATGACAGTGGCCCTAGCAACCCAATTTTCTCCTAGAAAAGAGATTAAATAAAAAATAGACACCAAAAGATTAGTTGGTCATCCCATTGAAAGACTTATTCTGTGTAAACACTAAATGGAAGTAATACTGAGTAGAAAGATGTGAACACAAAAACTGAAGCTTTTGCCATTATCTTCAGACAGTGCCTGTAATTCCCCTCAGCCTAAGCCACCAACAGAACACCCAAACCCTTATTTAGTAGAAAAGGCTCAGCTTCTAAATAAATTCCATTGGTGATCTTCTATTGTTAACACTCTAAGCCTGGAAAATCATCCAATGCCAGTTGAAACCAAGGAGTATGCAAAAGCAAGTCTCCTGCAGAAGCAAAGACTCTTGAGCCATGAGGAAAGTCTCATGTTCTCCCTGCTTATTAAAGTAGTTAGTGGTATGTTTCCTTTCTCAAAAGATCATTTGTGGGTTATAGCAAACAACAGATCCATTTGGCAGAAGTGTGAAATACCTACACATTTTCAAGTGAGACCTAGAGAACACACATGCATTATTTTTAGTGGGATTGTCTTACAAACAGCTACAGAGAGAACACATCAGCTGTAGGAAGAATGCATGAAGTACATAGCATAAGGCACAATGGGAGCATGCAGAGGGCGTGTTTATTGTAACTTCTGCCTGGGGAGGTTGAAGGATGAAGAGACCTCAGCAGCTTCCAGAATCATTCAACATTCTTGTACTTGGTGAAAAGGTTGTACAGAACCCTGAGTGTAGACTTCAGGTCCAAGTTGACAACATCTGTGGAAGAAAAGGAGAAATCTTTTATTTGCATTGTGTTTTCCCTCATTTGACCTGACAGGAACAGAAGTCCCCACATCTCTGAGCTGATGGAATTGTGAATTAAAAAATATCAACAGAGTTCTGATCTCCCCAAGCCTTTTAAATGTCCTGCACAATGTGCCTCAAAACAGCTTTACAATCCTACAGTCACAGCTAACGTCTCTCTGGGAAACAGGAAGATAATTCCCTTCCCCAGCTAAAATTTGCTACAGAGAAAGTCTGCTTCTGTCAGAGACCAGGGATAAAGGCTTTGGGAAATATTCCAGGTGACTTTCTGGGCAACAGAAGCAGTGAACAAGCAGTCACACACATCCTGAGATACTGTACCACATCCACAGCTCTGCAATGATATGGTCCATGAATTAACAAAGCCTGAATCCTTAGCAGACTCCAAGATTTTTATTATTTAATAACCCTTCTTATCATGCTAGGCCAGGGAACAGGTCTGGAACAGCTCTCAAGAAAAAGCTTTCCTGTTAGCACCTCTCTACCTATACTACAACAAAACACCAAGAATGCAGGGATTCTAGGGGGAGGCACAGCTCAGAGAAGGCTGAAGAGGTAGAAAGAAAGTTTGGATATAACATGTCAGAAATGAATAGGAAGCAGCAAAAAATACACAGTGACCAATATATATGGAAGCAGAAGTGAGGGAGAACAGATAATTAAAAAATCATCAGAAGTCCTAGGAAGACAGCAAACTGTTAACAGACCAAGCACAATTAACATGATGTTCAAGGGAAACCCCCACTGTCTGCTTTGAAGACTCATTGCCAGGACCTCTCCACCCTTCCCTCCCATCCCACACTAGATACTTCCCCACACTTCATCTGGTATTTTCAATAATCTCTCAAATATTTTCTGCCCTTTTTGCCTGTATTA